CTGTGCCTCATACATGCTCTTTGGCAGGATGTGACCATCCAGGAGCAGACTACCAACAACTGTCAGCATAACATCGAAGGCTTCTTGACTCAAGCTAAATTGGGACTTTACGACCATTAGGCGTGCAATGGCATCCAGTTGAGAAAACTTGGCATGCCCATGAAGGGGTTGCTGTGCCACAGACAACATATCGTAATACGCCTTTGTGGTTGGCTCTGGCTCCTCCTCCCTACGTCCTTCATCGAAGTGAGCTTCATGATAGTCATTTAACATGTCTCCTACCCCCGCATCAGCATCATAATCCTCGATGCGTTGTCTCACGACCTCGTCTCTCACATGATCGGATTCACCATGGTAGATCCACCGGGTATAGTCCGCCGTAAATCCATTCTTGCAAAGATGTTTACCCATGACCACCTTTGTTTGTCGACGCGTGTTTGCACAAATGTTGCAGGGACACCAAGTGCCACGCGCTCCTTTAACCCTTGCAAATGCTAGTTCCAAGAAAGCATCAGTCTTCGCAATCCATTCATCAGTCATCGAACCCTGACTAGAGCAGCCCGTGTACATCCACTCATGGTCATCCATCCTCTAACATATCACCAAGTAATATAAAAATCAATTACATCTATAGGTTCCTATACTGTCTAATAGGTGAAGATAGGTCCTAATGCCACCCGAGGATGTGTAGATGGGATTAGTTTCCATGCTCTACTCCTATCCGAGATAGAATTTCGGCAGCACCTCCCCGCTATTCTCCAAATACACGTCCTAGCAGGGAGATTGTGTATCTAGAGAACAACAGGGAGATGCTGCTGAAACTCTATTTCGGATCTGAGTAGAGCATAGAAACTAACTCCATCTACACATCCTCCGGCTGTCCAAAAAATGTGCACAATTCAAAACAGATACGGTTATAGATATGCAAAGATCTGCATATTTCCAATCATATCTCTTTCGAACGGGAGACGCCTAGCTAGGTTACATGATATACGAACATGATATGGAAAGAGGGGTGTAGGATGCCTCACCTTGCTGTCCTGCAAAGTGACGAGTCGAGGACGGTGGGGAATGATCCTTGCAATAGCCTCTCCTGCAACAAACGAACATAATAGTGTCAATTGTAAATTTCGGCTATTGGACGGAAAAAACAAGGCACATGCATTTAAGTAGGGCGTTGCGTGGCAGAGCAATTTTAGATGGTGACACGCGCAATTGTGCAATTTTCATATTGGTTTTTTGTAATTTTTAAGAACAAGAATATAGAAATGCATAACAAATTCCTTTACATAACAGATTCCTTTGCATAACAGTATAGTCTACAGTTACACACACCATCACTGTTTTTCACAGCCACTTACTACTACTTTCCCATGACGTTGTTCATTCTTCATTAAGCACTTCTCACCTTCTCTTTCTCACCATCTCATTAGCTCGCTTTAGTCATTATTTCTGCACACACTGTCACTACTCTCACAGCCATACTATTGTATTTGTGTTTTTGTGTATATATCAATTTTTTGCCATTTCTTGTTCACATTTTAGTGTCTAAAGGAGAGGGCTGGGTATGGAAATATGTGTGGCTAGTTATGTCAAGCCCCTACCTTTCATGATTTATACGATGAGGAGGTGGATACTATGTGGTATGTAATCAGGGAAAGCACATGCAAAGTCTATGTGTTAGTTGATTGTGAGCCTTTTCCAATTGCATACATATACAATACAAATGCATTACAAAAAAGTATTAGTTGCAGTAATAAAAATGTGTAATTTTTCTTATGTATGCTCTTAATTTTTCAACATTGTATAGATGGTGCATTGTTTACTACTCAGTACAAATGAGTATGCCTTCATTTCTATGCAATTCGTGATATGTCTTGTATCTAAATTTGAGTGTGTCCTCAATAAATCATCAAATACTAATCCCACTATAGTGAATTTGCAGTACCAAGCAATACTGTCCTCAACAAATCATCATCAAGGTGCTGAAAATTAAGAAAATGGTGGTTCTCTGACTACAGATTCAGCTTTCCATCATTACAGAACAAAGGACATGGAGATGAATTCAAGAGAAGGCCAAATCCTGATGCCAATAACCTCGAGAACAATCCAAATTGCTAGCTATGCTACCGTCAATGAACTAAAACAGACCCCATTCAGTTTTGCAAAGGCTCTCCTGTTAGAAAGCAAGTTTGGCACTAGTGGCACCGACCAGTGGAGGTGGCGAACCTGGGCGGTGGTGGAATCGAGCTTCCGCGGCGGCGCGGGAGGACAGCAGGGTCGTAGGGACGGTGCGCGGGAGGCCGGCGTGGATGCGCGAGGCCGGGAGAGGGCACCGGGCGCCGGCCAAGGGGGGTGCTGGCCGCTGGGCGCGCGCGGGGCTGGAGCTGATGGCAACGGTCGCGACGTCGGGCTTCCGGGGCGTGGGCGGCGTCGAGCTTCCGCGATGGCGCGGGAGACCAGCAAGATCATGGGGGGCAACATGGTAGGCGGCGTGGACACGCGAGGGTGGGAGAGGCACCGGCGCCGCCGTCAGGGTGCGGGCAGGCAGCAGTGGCCGGAGGGGACGGTGTGTAAGGGGTGGGCGGGTCTCTTTGGGGCGTGGGACCACAAGGCGTCGGTGGGTGGGGGGGCGGCGCGCGTGAGACCATTGGCGTCGGGGCTGGTGGGTGGGCGGTGGGCGGCCGGCGCTGGCGTGGCGGGCGTGCGCCATGGTGTGTGTTTGATTGTCGTGTGTAAAAGCGGCGGGTGGGGATTGGGGTGGTTACAAGGGAGGTTTGCCGAGTGCCCGCGATCTAGCACTCGGCAAACCCCCATTTTATTTTTTTTTCATTTTCAATAACTAAACTGCTCGGTGGGGCCGTGAAGGGGTTTGCTGAGTGTCCCAGGTATGACACTTGGCAAAATTGAGATTTGCCGAGTGCCATATATCGGGCACTCGACAAACTGATTTGATTTTTCCATATGCCTATTCATTATTTTATTTTATTATTTTTGTGTAATATTTTTTTTATTTCCTATGGTTACCGGACTAGATATTTAAAGCATCACATACATCACAAATCCATCAAGATTTATATTACAAATGTTACAATAATGTACATGTCGTTACAGTAAAAATGTATATACTACGATAGAAGTTTCGTCATCTCTGGATCTATACTACTCTTATCCGTGGCTTGATCAATGCTGAAAGATACTCTTTTACTTAAGACATCGTCCATGGCGAAGGATGCTAGCTTGTCTTGTAGTTCTTTGATCTCGAAGTCTAATAGCTTTTGGGGTTTTAAGTTTCTCACGCTATCGTTGAAGCAAGATGACATCAACATTCACAAGTGTTAGACAAAACAGTAGTGTGTTTTATTGAATTAACCGATATACATAAAATGAGAAACATACACACCATTTTATTTCCTTCCATTGTGCTCTCGTTGAGGTACTAATGCATTGCCCACATCACATAGAACCCGCATTTGTTGTTGGCTATTAACTGTTCTAGGGGTATGTGTTTCCATATAATGAGCCTCGAAATGGTTCTTCCTATGCCTGTCTATATTTTTCTTGACTCAGCGTGACACTATAAAGTGTAAAAGGTGGTGAAATTAGAATGTGCTATGTGATTAGAAAATTATATGCTACTAGCTTCACTTACTTACTTAGCACCATGAGTAGGTCATTGATATGAGAAAGTTCTCTTCGAGTCGCACACCTGGACATATGATTGTGCAAGTTTGATATCTACGAGGACGTATTGGAAACTGCACTCACAAACTTATTATTTCATTCAATACCACATCTTAACATGTTGTATGTACCTACCAAATGGATCCAGAAATATATCAATTCTTAACATGGAGTACCACATGTTGTATGTGGAGAGTAGAAAAAGTTTCAAGGTCAGGAGTGAAAAAAGCTTATTATTTCATGCAGTTGTAGCTTAAATTCAATGTATATCAATTAAAATTCTATAATTGCACTTAACAAATTAAAATTATCGATCCGATCCAAAAATTTACCAAAATTACACATGGATCAATCTATGTTCTCTATTGCCTATACAAAAAGTTCTGAAGTCAAACCCCAATTCGACCGTCACTTTGAATCCAAATCTTACCGAATTATTCTCTACGCTACGATTTTTCTTCTGAGATACTTTGGATTGTAAACATCGTACGTGACAGATTGTCCGAAACCTTCTTAATTTTTTACCACAACCTCCACGTATTATATCATGAGATTTTGATACATGATTTTCAGACTTCGTTTGCTTTTTTTAGAATTTAAAAACCATTCGGCCACACGTTCGTGGTCGGGTTTCATAAAAAGATGTTCAAAAATTCTTTTCATTTCCTGGGCAAGGCCTCAAAATGGACTCAATAACATGAATATCATTTTTCCATTCATTTTATTCCATTATTTGAATCACTTGCACTTCAAATTTGACTTATACCAAAAAAAATCCTCTAAACGCAATAAATTAATTAAATATATCAAATGGATTCAGAAATATACCAAATTTTAACATGTAGTAAGACATGTTGTATGTGGATGGTAGAAAAAGTTTGGAGGGCAGGAGAGGAAAATAAGTTTTGGATTTACCGAGTGTTGGGGAAAAACACTCGGCAAACTTATCATTTTGCCGAGTGCTGGCTAAAAACACTCGGCAAGCTGATCATTTTGCCGAGTGCTGTGGCAAAACACTCGGCAAAGTTACACTTTTGCTAACGACCGACACGCCGTCAGACGGCCGTCGCACCTGCCGGTCACGTGATATGATTTTGCCGAGTGTTAATTTATTGCCGAGTGTCGTATTGTGGTTTGCCGAGTGTCTTATATTCTACACTCGGCAAATCTGGTTTTTACCGAGTGTAATACGTATGCCGAGTGTCTTATTAACTACACTCGGCAAATTAGCTCTTTGCCGAGTGCCCGATTAATTGCACTCGGCATATTTACGGTTTCCGGTAGTGCATGGTGAAGTTTCTGATCCACCTTCGGACCAGATCCCAGCCCAATTAGGTCTACCTGTTTCAGATGCACCTTTTTCCATTCAGACTTGTATCTGCTGTCCTCATATAGTCCAAGCACAGTTCCTGCAATATACATACAGTTTAAATTCAAATTCAAATTCAAATTAAATAGAACAGAAAGAAAATTAACTAATCCAGCAAGCATGATGAAGTCAATTCGATCATTCCAGGAGCACATGCAGACTGATATAATAATAACTACATACAGTACCAGAAGCAATTGCCGCGGCAGCATTCAGCTTCAACTCTTGTCGGATCACAGCGGGGGCGGCGAGAAGGATGGCGGCGCTGGTAGCCTGAGCGGCCCTGGCAAGTGACGCGACGGATTCACCTAGGCCCTGCAGGCAACCGGCGCTGCGGGCAACGAAACCGACGAGAGCCACCCTCTTGAACCTCTGCCCCTGCACGCCGAGCACCACCGACTACCCGGGCTTGCCGGTGAACTCCTCCTCTGCCGCTGCGGCCCGCAGCAGGCCGCCGAGCTGGGCGTCAAGCTTCTTCAGGACGGCGTTCTCGAACTTGGTGGAGTCCGGGACCTGCGGCGGCTGCACGTCTTTCTCCGTCACGGCAATCGCGAGTATATCGCCATGCTAGTCCGAGAATTCGATGTCTTTAGCTGCAAAGCTAATCTGAAACAACAGGGAGGACAGCGCAGGTTGAGCTTACGACGGTAACACTGGATGGTGTGCTAAGCAGATGATCGAATCCATTCCACGGGGATCCAAATCAAAACACTAGACAGATAGGAATTAACAGGCCGATCCTGAGTCAAGTTATATATAGAAACAAAACAAAACAGGCGCACCTGAGGCAATTCGACGGCGGCGTTGGGCCTGGTGAGGCCGAGAGTGGCGGCGGCAGTAGCGGTGTCACCCATCGGATCGGAGAGAAGAGGAAATGTGCCGGCCGGAATGTGAGAGGCGTGTGCTGAGAGCTAGCGTAGCGAGGACTCTGGGACTGTGGGTTAGGGAATTGGGTCCATCCCTGCTGCTGCTCACTGTGGACTTCACTCTCTAGAAGACGGGGACGTGGCTTAGAAAACGGTGGCAGGAGGAAGAAATTTCCAATCCTGGCGGTGGCGGCTAACTCATTCATCCAAAACGTCGGGAGCGGGCCCGCAACGACGGATGGCTGCCGATCTTGACTAAGTGAGCACTCATCAGTCACCACTCAGCTCCGACCTTCGATGGCTTTCTCTTCCTTGATGTTTTAGGTCTCGATTTTATCCCATCACCTTGCATCGTTGAGACTAATTAGTCATGTAGGAATTTCTTCTTATTAAGGCAGCGGAGCTAGGCGGCGCGAGGGTGGCCACACGAGCGGGTGGTACGAGGGCACCCGCACGGGCGCGGGCCTGGGCCTCGCCCAGGACGCCGCACCAGCGTCGGCCCCTCCCACGACGGTGAGCGGTTCCCGGCGAACGCCGCACCCGTCTTCGTCTCCATCTAGATGTCATCCATGGTAGGTCGATCCTCCATCTTGTTTCTCTTGCCTGCTTGATTTTGCTCTTCAGGATTCTTTGACTTTACTTATTGCCTCCTTAAATCGCTTCATTCAATATGAAATATTGTGGTCTAGGGTTTCATGTATTTTTCTTCTCCCCATTGTAACAGAGGTCCCATCGAGCTACGGCGATGACAAAGCGGGGAGCTGTTTGGGCAGGTGGACATTCTTGGCATTTTTCCTATTTTTATATTTTTTTCGGTAGCCATTCTTGGCATTTTTCCTATTTTCTATATTTTTCAGTTGTGTGCATGCTCATTCCAAATTGAGATTGCCACTCGTCTAGGTTTTGGGAGTTATTATGAGTTACCGGTTCTGAGCTGCGGCCTCTGAAAGGGAAGGGAGGGCTGCGTCTAGGCATTTACTATGCCTATTTTTAAGATAAGATGGTTTGAATTACAAATGTAAAAAGTATTTATTCTAGATTACTATAGTATTTACAACATGCTATATAATGCGACAATTAACTTGGATTAGTTGAAATCAGCATATAGTTCTATAGAATTTTTTTAGAGTTGATAGGTTTTAATTGATTACAACCTTCTTTTAGTCTTCATGATTGCAAACTCTTTTTTAGTCAATTAGTCCTCCTTTTTAAGCTATAAAACTATTCGTTTCTTCCGTGCAGGGGTACTTTGATGTATGACTCGGTGCAGGATCGTGGGTGCAACAGTGGAAGGACCAGCAACATTTTTGATATGAACTACCTATGCCAAAGAACTTTACCATTCACCTAGGTATTATCTTATTTGTGTGATAACGATTAGTTATGCCCACCAAAAAAATAGAAACAAAGAGGTGCAAGAAATTTCACATGGTGCTGCTTAGTTTATCTAGATCCTTATATGTACCTCTCATTGCTTTTATGTTGGTACCTACAGGTCTAAATATCCTAGGTTCAAGTAAGAACACAAATGACATCTTGAAGTTTCTAGACTCTCATATGTACTGTTCCTTTTTTTTTCCTATGCTGATGGCTAAATGTCCAAAATATCATCCTAGGTGTTCATGTGTCAATCTTCCTTTTCTTGTGTGTGTTCACATGTGCCTTTTAATTTTATCAGTCAGTTTGTTTACTGAAGTGAAGTAACCTGACTTGGCACTTTAGCATCAGGGCTGCAGCTTTTTTCTTCAAGAAGTCCGGTGTACGATGGGGGAGGGTACTAACCTGATTTGCTACTATAAAATTACGGCTGCATCTTTTTTGCTTCAGCAAATCAGATGCACGATGGGAGAGGGCTGACAAAAAAATGTTGGTCACCTTTCTTGATGAATCAATTTCTAATTCCTTTTTTTTTCTTGGTGATGGTTCCAGCCTTTCTGTTGTTCGTTTTTCTTGCTTTTTTTTTGTTACCAGGTTCCTTTCCAATCAACAAGGAGACTTCAACCTGTTGTTTTCCATATGCATTGATTCTTAGGTTCTTTTCCTCACTTCCTGTCATTCTTTGATTTAAGTTTTTCTGTTTGATTCTTCTCTTTCTTTTTGTGTGCGGTGGGAGGTTTACCTATTTTTGCCATTCCTGCAAGTTGTGAAGGCAAAAAAGGGGTTCCTTTGCACAGCCACACCGCTGTTCTGAGATGGGCACTGCCAAGCTAGCCAAATTTCGGTGTTGGTAAGCTACTTTACATCTTCATTTCGGTGTTTCTCTTATAAAGGTTTTGATGCCAAGGATGTCTTTAGTTTCAATCATATGTTTGGACTGCATGCTTCTCCCTATGCATTGATTCTTATATTCTTTTTCTCACTTTCGGTCATTCTTTGTTTTAATTTTTTCTGTTCAATCCTTCTCCTTTTTTGTGTGAGCAGGGAGATTTACCTATTTTTTTGTGTTCCTCCAGGCTGTGACCACAAAAATAGGGGTTGACCGCCTAAGCCACACCGCTGTTCTGAGATTCACGCTGCCAAGCTAGCCAAAATTTGTTGTTGGTAAGCTGCTTTCCATGTTTCTCTTATAAAGGTTCTATACTTGCTGATTTAGAGCACTTTAAAATCCTTGCTTATATAAGTTTCACCGATTTGGTCCCATGCCTTTTTCCAAGCTGCTATTAAAAATTTGGGAAATTTTGCTATTGGACATGCCAAATGACGTGTCTTTGCTAGCGGACACTGCGTTTTCCATCTTTTGCCGTGAGACACTCTGGTTTTTGGAAATACTGCCAGTGGGCACCGCAACCTAGTTGCACCGGTTTAGAGAGAGAAAACCGTTTTGGACATCGGGTGCCCTGAACAGAACTGGTGCCGTCCCAACCTAGTGCAGTTCGACCCGATTGAACGGCAAGCCCGCACCCGACTCCGTCGTTACTCTCGGTCTGTTCAAAAGTGCGGGCGGTCGTTCAACTGGGTCGAACCAGACCAGGTTGGGACGGCGCCAAGTCTAGTTCAGGGGCACCCGATGTCCAAAACGAAGTTTTCTCTCTCCAAAACCGGGTGCAACTGGGTTGCGGTGCCCACTAGCAGTATTTCCAAAAACCAGAGTGTCTCACGACAAAAGATGGAAAACGCAGTGTCCGCCAGCAAAGACGCGTCATTTGGCATGTCCAATAGCAAAATTTCCCTAAAAATTTTAGCTATTAAACTACCAGTCCTATTACAATGATGGTGTGTGACCACCTAATCTTGTGTGTTTGGCTAATGGCTACATTATTGTGGATATTTGATTTTAGATTGAGCTTTATTCTCACAAACCAAACATCAAAGAATCTATAAAAAGGAAGCCATTTCTTTTTCGAAAATACACATAACTCTTCCTATTCCTCCTAATTATTTTTCATGGATATGAAAAATAAAAGCGTTGCAAAAAATTAGAACAGTTGTATTAGCAAAGTGGCTCTAAAGGCATAGTTGTATCAATTGGCAATTTTCTGTTGGGAATACTACACCTATTTTCCATCTGATAAGTTCTTTCTTCCTTCCTTCTAGCAGCTGCAGTACATATCATCATGTAAAGGCAAACCTTGGGTGATCTACTGTTCACCAGTTTCGGCTCTGTTGTTAGTAAGAACAGGTTGATGGCTGCAACAAAGCAAACTTTACGTGCTTCTGCATACAAAGACATCACAATTCTTGCAGCATCATTATTCTCTTATTAAGGTATTTTTTACATAATATACAGTTGTATCCTATGCTTATTGCGTCATAGGACTACATGCGCTAACTTTTATTAACTTATCACCTGCTATGCTCTATGAGGTTTATGCAAGCTGATTGTAACAGAATCGTCCAATTTATAAGAGCACAAATACAATAGTAATCACCGAAGCGATCAAACTATCACTACGTAAAAAATAATTTTTAGCAACGGTTCAAACTTTTTTGTAGGTGCGGCTGGTAATGGAACAGCAGGGGCGGCTGGTGATACGAGCCACCCCTACAAATGGGGTTTGATTTGTAGGGGCGGCTCAATCACCAGCCGCCCCTGGAGTTGCTATTTGTAGGGGCGGCTGGTGATTGAGCCGCCCCTACAAATGACCCACATATAAAATAGCTGCAGCACCTTCTTCCTCATCGGGTCACTCACTCCAACCCGTGAAAGAAAGGTGGAAAGGTCTTGGGCACCTCTCAAAAATTGCTCTACTAAGGGGGAAGGTTTTGGTCTCAAATCCTTTGATGGAGAGGTTGTATAAGGTAAGAAAAATGTTGTTCCATATTTTTTTTGAAGTTTTAATGGTTGGTTAGTGAGTAATTAGAGTTTTGTTTTTCTCTCTTCTATGGTGCTTGAGCTACTTATAAAGCAAATTAGATCCAAGTTTTAAATGTACTAGGGTAAATTAAGGAGGGAAACAAGATCATACCCTTATTTGGTTCATGTTTCTTGATTTTAGTGAACAATTAGTTAGTTTTATAGATGTTTAATGTGCATGTGGATCTAGATCTAGGGTTTGGTTTTTTTATTAATTTTGTTTTTGTAAATTTATGTTTGATGAAATTGGACTAGGGTTTGTATGAAAGATATTGGGTAAAGTATAATTGTTGCTAATTGTTGTATTTGAAATTGTTTATTGTAATCAATAAATATGTATTTTAATTATTTATGGATAAATGAGCCATTAATTAATTTTCCTCTACCATGGTGTGTTTGTATGCTTCATGTAATTATATTAGATTTATATTCATATATATCTGAAGTATATACAATTATTCTCAAGTAATTATTAATTTGTTTCATTTTTATATATATCTGAATAAGTAGTCCTTTAATGTTTGTTTTGTTGTTGTTGTAAAAGATGGAGTATAGGAACTCTTGGATGTATGGTTCGTTAAGGTTTAAGGCAGGTTTCCGTGAAGAGGTGGATAAATTTATTGAAGCCGCAAAGAAGCATGCAACGACATTGAAAGAGAATAAGGATACAATTATTTGTCCATATAAAGATTGC